GCTGAGAAGATCCGTGAATTACTCCGCAAGGTCAGAACCCCAGAGACTGGTGTTAAAATAGAAAATAAAGAGGATAATAAATCCTTTATTAGCTGTAATGAACAATATATTTTAATCTTCTGTTTTTTGTTTTTGTTTTTGTTTTTTTTAATCAGGTGGGAGAAGAGCAGGGTCAAGAGAACCCTCCGGATCACGACCCAATCCACGACCAGAGCTGGTACTTGGACCAGGGGCTCCGGCGCCGACTATACGAGGAGTACGGTGTCCAGGGCTGGGCCATTTTACAGTTCTTAGGCGATGCTGTGTTTATACCCGCTGGAGCGCCACACCAGGTCAGACTCACGGCGCCTCACGGTGCGTTTCATAGCTTCAAGGCTCAAGCTTGTTAACCAACCCAATCTTCTTCCTCTCCCTTCTTTTTAGGTGCATAATCTGTACAGCTGTATCAAGGTGGCGGAGGACTTTGTGTCTCCTGAACATGTGAGGCACTGTTTCAGACTGACGCAGGAGTTCAGACACCTTTCCACGACTCACACAAACCATGAAGACAAGCTACAGGTGTGTTTTATTCCTTCACACATCTGTCTTAAAGAGACGTTGAGGTTTTGTTCTTACATGAGTTTTTCCTCGTTTTCTGCAGGTGAAGAACATCATCTATCATGCAGTGAAGGACGCGGTCGGGACACTGAAGGCCCACGAACCTAAACTAGCTCGCCCTTAGTCGCCCACTCCACTACCTACACACACACACACACACACACACACACACACCATATCTACACGAGTACAAAGTACAGAGATTGTGTATGTTGTTGGGGGGGAAGTGAAGGTCTGTAATCTGGGGGGGAGGGATGAGACAGGGAGGGATTAAATCAGCGCTTGAATTAAGGAAGTCCTTCATCGCTGTTACACAGTACTCTCTAACTTGTCTAGTTGTTTTTCTTCCCCCCCCTCCCTCCCCTTTTTTGATTAACGTTGTATTTAAGGTCGGTGTGTTCTCTTGGTTTTGTTGTAAATGTAAAACGTTTCAGTAAGGGAGGTAAAAAGCTGACGTGCCTTCAGAGCGGAGGTTCAGCTACCATATAAGCAAAATGACTAAATGTGAGTACTGGGCTAACATTCTTATTTTGATGACATGGTTCTGTTTTTCATTAGAAGCAAGGTTAACCTGATTTTGTTTTTTTGTAGATTTTCTTTCTTTAAAAAAAAAAAATGATGATTTTTGCCGTCTGTTGCTTAAAGGATTTGCAAAGCAGCCAATCAAGGGAAGCTGACCAAAGTTTTGTATTTTTAGTTTTCTTATTTCTTTCATTTAGAGTAAGAAATCTTCCTTTTTTTATGCAACGAGTGGATTAGATGCTTCAGAGACGGCAATCTTTTTTTTTTCTTTTTTAACAACCAGGGGGTTTGAGGAATTAAGAGCTCCCAGTTATATTGTTCAACAATCCCAGTTGCAGCTGAACAGAACTACTGGCCATTAACATTGTATCAATATATATATTGATCTTAGCAGTTGGATTTCTTTTTCACAATAAAATTTACAAAAATAATGTTGTTTTATGCTTGTTTTGTATTAGATCTATATGTCTATTCTAGTCCTCTGATGTGCCAAAACTGGAAAGAATACATTTTTAGCTGGTGTTCTATTTTTAAACTCCTCCACATTAACCAGTAAGAGAAACTGGCTCCAGATCAGGTTGAGTGAATGATTGACCTAATTCTTAGAAGAACCCAGGCTGAAAGTAGAGAGTAGTTTTTATATAATTTTTTTGACTTTATATTTAGTTTTTGAACAAGGGGAAACACAAACAAGTGAGGACTAGAGCACACACACAACATATAGAGCAGTCGATTTTACGCTGCATAACTAGTCTGAATCACAAGAATAAAAAATAGGGTCATTTTTTTTATTCAATTCTGGTTGTTTTAGATGTTCAGGTCTCAGGGGGGAGCAGGGGGGTTATGTTGCCATAACAGCTGCACACTAGGTGCCCCTCATTCCCCCTTTCCCGTCCACCTATTGTCAAAAAAACGAGGCACTAGTGCCATTAAAAAAAAAAACAGAATCAAGCTCATAAATTCATAAAAAAAAAAAAAAAAAAGTTTTCCATAGTGCCTGAATTGGGATCCAAAACATCAACTATTTAATATATGCTCCAATATGGCCTTTAACATTTTCCAGGCCAAGGACCTCCAAACTGATGGTGAGATAGAGCGGGGACCCCCTAATTTTATATATATATCGATGAAATTGTGTTAAATCAAACCAGTCCTATAGTATCTATTATAGATGGAGTAATGTAACAAAAGTAATTTCGCCCTGGGATTATTAAAGTATTTCAGATTTATCGTTGATGGAAAAGGTGTAGTGAAAGAAACGGTGACCAGCTTGAAAGAGCTCCTGTGTGTCCCTGAAAGTGTGCATTGATGACTGAAAGACATCTTCTGCCTCCTTCTGTTTACTACAGTGTGTTGAATTCATGTTAATGTTTATTTAAAGACATTTCACTTAGTGGAAAAAATTGCAGGGGGAATAAAAAAAAACAAAAAAAAAACGTCTTATCAACCAAGTCTTTTGCAAGCCACATGCGGTAACTGAAGTGCTCTACTGTCGAGCAGTGTTTTCACACGTAAGGAATTTGCTGAGGTGCTTCACATAGACAAGCAACCATTGAGTTTAATAGAATATAAAATATAGAATAAATGCATCAATGTTGTATGAAGAGCACATCAACAGTTATTAGAAAAGAAGCTCTTTATCTGCATTATGTACCTATATATAGACCAGGGCTCCTTCAGTTTAACAACCAGCCAGGCACTGGAGTGGATGATGCTGTGATTTTTTTTTTTTTTCCTCTAGTACAGGGCGAACTCTCGCACCCTGGAAGTTTTGTGAGTTTTTTTTATTTATTTATTTTTATCTTTTCACTAATGCTTTCAATAAAATACAGCAATTTATTCTGAAAAGCAAGCTGGAGCAGACTAAGGTGAAAGGTTAACCCACAGACTGGACAATCTTAACAACTGTCAACAGAACAATGAGATCTGCAGTAAGGAGGCCCCAACAGGGTAAAGTTCTGGTTCCGGTCCTCTTTACCTGCAGAAATGATCAGATGACTGTGGTTGTTGGCCTCATCTTGCAAAGGGAAAACAGAAAGGTGATGTGTGACTTTGTGGAGTGGTGAAGATCAAACTCTTCAGATTAATGAAAGAAAGCGAGAAACCAGACGCATCACTGCCACCATGCATTCATTTGATAAAAGTAGATAAGTAATGACAATGAATAAGATGTTTGCCCCAGAACTCAAACTTGAGAGAAGTTTCTCTTCTACACCTTTAAATTAGACAGCATAGATGCTTAAATAAATGTATGTAGTTGTTAGCAAAAGCTGTAGGAAAGTATAGTTTGTCTTTATTTGGAAAATATGGTGTTGATGGACCCCCTTTCTGCCACCCCTCAGTGTACACTGGTTACTGCCTGGCCACCCTTATTAAAATTTTCTGGCTACGCCTCTGTCCCTCCAAAGGAAGGCTGAGGCACCACAGGTCTGCAGTGGGACATTTTTGTCCCTCTTTACTTCCTGCAGCCCCCAGACTCTATAATAAGGCAATCAAAATTGTCTCCAAATGGTATATAAACTGTTAAATGTTTATCTGGTTCTCTATCTTAGTTTGTAATGTATTTTAAATGCTGCTTTGACACCAAACATTTCTCCCTGTGACACAAATTAATTTGAACTATTCAGAGAGTTTATTTTGTTGAGATTCTGTGGAAAGAACCTCCTTTTGTGACAGCCTAGGTAAAGCAAACATGGCTCTGTGGTGTAGGCCTCCCGATTGGGTTCTAAATAGTCTGTGAGATCGAATGTGTGAGGTTGGCAGAGATGTTAACTGACCTTTTCCTGACCCTAGACCTGTATAGCCCCTGAATGAAGGGAAGGTCATTTTCTACCATTCTATCTGCAGATCTATCGTTCTTTGTTGATGAGCTAGGGTAGACAGAATACAAAGCAGGCTGAATTATGGTGATATGGAAGATCTTTAGAAAATAGTGCTGTTCATGTATATTTTTAACATGGAACAACCCTTCCTGCCCCAGGAATTTTTTTTTCTAGAACTGCCAAAAAGAGCTCATCAGTGGGGTGGAGGACTCCCTCGGGGCCACATTTTATTTTTCTAAACGCCCCTCAGACATTAAAATACCATATGTTTTTTTTTATATATATTTTTAAATTACTAGCATTATTATGTGTGAAATAAAGTATCGAGCTTAAATTGGTAAGATTAATCTTTATGTTCTCCTACTTTCACTGAACTGTGTATGGAAGCCCATTTCTGCCACATGAAAATAAAGAATGTCATAATTATCAGTTACCGGTATGTATTTCAAAATTATGACTTTGTATCTCATAATTATGACTTTGAAAGTTAAAAATTATGACTTTGTATCTCATAATTATGTTGTTTTATCTCATATTGTCACTTTGAAAGTTCAAATTATGACTTTATCTCATAATTATGACATTATCTAATATTGTCACTTTGAAAGTTCAAATTATGTCTTATATCTCATAATTATGGCTTTGAACGTTGAAATTATGACTTTGTATCTCATAATTATGACTGAACACTGAAATTATGACTTTCTATCTCGTAAATATGACTTTGTATCTCACAATTGTCACTTTAAAAGATGAAATTATGACTTTTTATCTCATATTGTCACTTTGAAAGTTCAAATTATGACTATGTATCTCATAATTATGACTTTTTCTCATATTGTGACTTTGAAAGTTCAAATTATGACTTTGAAAGTTAAAAATTATGACTTTGTATCTCATAATTACAATTTTAAAAGTTGAAATGATGACATTGTATCTCACAGTTATGACTTTCTATTGGCATTTTTATATTTTCACGTGGCGCAAACAGACTCCCATAGCTATGAGTGCACGAGGACGAGAAAACATGGAAGGCATTCATGAAGCGAAAGCGACCTGAACCAATGTGACGCGGCCCCTTTAAGAGCCAGTCTTCCAGCAGTGGGGAGCAGACTGCAGCAGCAGCAGCAGCAGACCCTCATCATCCTCCGTGCCGCTCACTCACCTGACAGCACAGCAGCGTGGCAGACCGAGCCTGACAGGACGGAACCAGACCCGCTGCCTCACATTCCGCTGGAGGAGGAATGGGGGGCACAGAGCCCACCTGCTAGCCAAAATAAGAGTCCTTAGACGCGGAGAAAGCTCTCGTCTTTGCCATCCAGCAGCAGCAGCAGCAGCATGGTATCCTGGATTATTTCGAGGGTAGTGGTGTGAGTATGGGCTGGGCTGGGCTCCATCTGTTGTTAAAAAACGTTAGCTACATCATCGTCATCCTCAACGGCTGCTCCATTCATCACTTCGATCTGCTGGGCTGTTTTCTACCCAAACACAGCTAAACTTGTTAAATTAAGAACAACTAATAAAAGATAATGGGCTGCTTGGTGTTTGAAACGTGTTTAAAGCTACTGTAGATGCTCACTTTCCGGCACTTCTCTAATATTGTTAGTCAGGTCGATGATGCAGCGCGAGCTGAGCTAACAGCTTTAAGCTAACGGCCATCTAAAAAAAACAAAGCAAATGGAGATTCACGCGCTGCCAGGAAAGCAGCTATTATTTAGTCAACCTGATTAACATGCAAACCTTACTGCAGACCAGTAAACACAGACAAAACAGCATTCAGTGGCCCTTAGCTAAACGATGAATGAAAATTCAGCTCAGTGACAGAGTAAAGGTGGATCAGTTCTGTTTTATTGTTTTATTTTATTTTTCCTCTCAGGGAAGCCTCATAAACCCAGCCAACACTTTCCACCTGGAAACATCTCCACACTGTGGATGACTCAACTAAAGCAGCAGCAGCTTCTCTAGGCTGCTTCCAGGACAGGCCCAAGATTGATGCTTGGGATCTCCACTAATGGCTCTTTTAAAGGGTGTTGGTTATTTTCACCTTAATTGGCTTATTTTTTATTTTTCTTGTATGATGAGGTTGCTGTTGGCTCCAAAAAATAAGCCTATTTTCATTAGAACATTTTAAACTGACCTCATGTTAATCTGTGCAAGGCTGTTTCCATAGTTCTGCCTGCTATGACGGCCAATAATTTAATTGGATCTTTTGATTTGCTATGTGGCCTATCCGGCCTTATTTTGTTACTAGTCCAGACAAAGATCCATATAAAGATAAATTGGAGCTTGGATTATACACAATTTAAACAAATGCATCTGTGCTTTGAAAAGTTTAATGTTTTAGTTTTCCTCATAATTCAGAACAAGACTAGTAAAGAGAACAAAGATGAAGCAGTTTAAATGTTATGTGGGTACAAAATTTTATGTCTACTAATTGGATTAATTTGCCCAGTTGACATGATCGTCTTTAAATTACCCATGCTTCAGTATTTAAGATATGTAGGTTTAAAGTTATTAAAGGGCAACCGCAGACTTTTAGCCTAGTAAACTAGCCCCACCCACCAGTGGCCAGTGGTGGTCTAGCCTCGATTAATGCCCCAGGCCCTAGAACTGGCGGGCCAATCACAACACAGAGATGTGTTTTGAACTTTTGGATGCAAAGCGGGCGGGGTTTTGAGGGCGTGACGACAAAGCTGCGTGACACTGGAGAAAGCACAACCAGTGAGATGGCAACAACTATTGAACAGTAGCATGCACTGCAGCAGCAGCTTTCAGTGGAGCGCTCCATTGAAAGTTAAAAGTTCAATTTTCTGTTGCTGTTGTTCAATAAACGTTTGTTTTAAGACCTTTTGAGGCGAGAATATTATACTTTTAAGCGTCACTATATGGTCCATTGACTGATTTAAAGCAAAATAAAAAAAACTATTTGTGAAATTGAGAGGATCGTGGCAACCAGCGGAACTCCGAGTCTAACGCCAGCCAGGGCTAACCGCAGCCCGCCTGCAGCGGCCCTCTCTCGGCATAGTCGTGTGTGTGTGTGTGTGTGTGTGTGAACAATAGATGGCAGTATTAAAATTATCTATGTAAACAAACCTCATCACTTGAGAAGCTAGGTGATTCGGACATCGTGCAAGACATTTTGTCCCGTAACGCTCGCCGTACTGTTGGGGGGGAGAAGCGGTGGGGGGGGGGGGGGGGGGGGGATGTTCATGTTGCTGCGGTCTGCAGTCTGGACGTTAGATGTCGCTAAAAATTACACACTGTAGCTTTAATCTCACATTTAGTCTGGTTTATCAGGATGACAAAGATGAAGCAGTTTAAATGTTATTTGGGTACAAAATATAAATTCTACTAATTGGATTAAATTTCTCAGTTGACATGATCGTCTTTAAATTACCCACGATTTAGTGCTTAAGATATGTAAGTTTAATGTTGACGTTATTTATTAAAGGCAACTGCAGGATTTGTGACCTAAAGATTTTACGCATATTGGTTATTTTATATGATTCCTCAGGCCAAGATACAGCGCTTGACACTATTAATACTAAGAGGGGGCTCCTCTCTTGAAATACCGCCTATGTAAGTTGGGAGAAGACGCACCGTCATTGGCCAGGCCCGTGTGACCTGGAAGAACGTATCTCTTTACGTCCACAGGCTCTTATATCGTCATGGAACTAAGGCTTTTGCTCTACTATTTTTCAGCCTGCTCGACTACTGGTCATGGCTGAGGAAAAGAAAAAGTTTAAACCTTTTGAGGATGCTTAAAAGAGAAAACGTGGAATGATTGTGAGTGAGGAAAAACAAGAGTCGATCTTGGAAAGGAATTTGTTCGTCGGCAAAGGCCGGATGTAAAACAGATTCTCTCTTCTCAACTTTATTATTAGATTGGCAAGTTAACACTTTGCTTCTAGTATACAGTCATATCTTTATTATTTTTGATGTTTAGTTGAAGCAAAATACAGGCAGTTATAGATCTAGCACCCCTAGTTGCCAAAAGTTACACGGCCTGCCTTTATATTGATAGTTTTGCATAAACTCTGGAAATGATGTAATTTGTTGGCTTTTGTAAATGGGTGTACCAATTCAGAGTTAAATTTAAGATTTTCCTCTGTTCAACTATTTCCAGTACATTTTTTTTTTGGTTATTTTAAATTCTGATTTAGTTTACTCTTGCTGCTTCATTCCCTTCTTTAAATATCAAACATGTCACAGATGCTGCTCTTTTCCTTAGTATTTAAAATAGTGTTGAAATGTTCCCATTCCTCTAAATATTCCTGATTAGGTAATAAACTGCAAACTGCTTCCAGCCGGCTCCTGTTCCTCCCTGTGCCTCAGTTAGTCATGCACCGATCAGGCAGTGTGATGCATATGCATCATTATAGCTGCAGCACTTCAAACAAATGGTTGGCCATTTCCATTTTAGTTGGCTCTTTGAACATTTTGAATGCATTGCTAAAGATATCCCTAGTCTTTTAGGTTTTCTGTGTCGCATTAATTTCAATGTGTTTTACTGAGATTTTCTTTGGTAGAGCTCTCTTAAGTAGTACATAAAAGTGAGATGAAATGAAGAATATATTTAAAACTATAACGAAAAAAATGTTGGGGGAAAAAAGCATCTATGATGCAAGCTTTAAAACTTGACTCGATTGGATTTGGGACACAATGTTAATCGGGAGATGCTAACGAATGACATTTATGATAAAGTTAATTGTCCTCCCTATTAACATGTCTGGTTTTACATGGACAATCAATGTGAAAAATCAAGAGTTTTAATATGTTGTACGGTAATTAAAGCAAACCACTTAAATAGGCAATACAGCTTTAATAAATTTGCTTTCATGTCTTCCTGAAGAAAAAGCCCGTTTAGCCTCAAACTCTGAAGTAATTTTGTGATATAGAAACAAAGAAGCTTGTGGCTTCAGATATCACTAGCCTTGAGGGCTGCTTTAAGTCAGGTCAGACTCTACTGCATATAGGACAGAGAGTGTGAGATGGTATGGCATAGAGAAATGCTAAATATGTTCAACTGGGTCTCAGTCGGATGCACATTTAATCCTTGAGCTCTAGTTTAAGGTCTCAAAAATGGACTCGCACTGCACTGGTGACTGCTTTTCCGTGTCTTCCTCTTTGCACATGTCACATCAGCACAAATCCTCCCAAGGAACAAAGGTTGCAACAGTCTGTGTGCACAGAGTCCCAGAGTTGCACATGAGCCAACACATGGTGTCCCACCCCTGGCAGACCCATTTGTTCATTTTTTCCATTTCATCCCTTTGCACTCTTCCTGACTGTGGGATCTCCATTACAGTGTTTCTATTGATTAAGTCTATTTTGGAGCATTACCACTCAAATCAAAAGGAAAGGGGGGGGGCAACTGTGCTTGTTCAAGTAAAAGTAGGACATATGGTGCAGAAGATCAGCCTCTTTTTGTTTATCTAAGCCTAGTGCAAATGTAAACAGTCTCTATGGTTGAGTTTTTTTCGGGCGTCCATACCCAGAGGTCATGCACGTCCTCCTTACATTGATCCAGGTCTTCCCTCTTTCTTTTTCAGCCTCGCCTTTGGGACGCTCTACCCTGCATACTCCTCCTATAAGGCCGTCAAAACGAAGAATGTGAAGGAATATGTGAGTACCACCTCCAGTTGTTAGAGCAGGACTCCTTCCTGTTTGCTTTGTTCCATTTAGTTTGTGCTCTCTGCTCCTCCCAGCTGTTATGATTTATCAACTTCACTTTAAATGATTACCATACACAAGAAACAGTTATTGATTAAAAGGTTTTAATGTAACACCGGCACCACTGGTGGACTTGATTAAGGTTCAGTTATGTGTTGAAAACCTTCAATCATAATCAGTTTTTCAGAGAGACTAAAGAAAAAAGGTCAATAAATGAGTTTAAAGAAGCACATTGTTTTATTTTCAAATATTTTTTTTTTTTCAGGAGGAGCGGAACTCTCGCTGTTTATGGTGTTTTTTTTTCCATTACAATCTATAAAAATAATCTTTCAAAAGATAATGAATTATGGTATCCAAATTAGGGCTGAAACAATTAATTGGATTAGTCAATTAGATCGTCAACTAATTTAGTAATCGATCAATCCTTAACTGGAGTATAGAGACTATAAAATATGCCTTCAGCTGAAAGAGCGACCCACTTAGAGCAGTAATTATATCAATTTTGTAAAAATAAAATCACTGATGAAAGGAATCTTTTGGCCGATCTGATTATTAATCGATTAATCTAAAAAAACAAATTTTTACCGATTCGCTAAATAGTCGTTACATGCAGCCCTGATCCCCTTATCTCCCATCCCCGTTTTTTATTTGGTAAAACTTTGCATTTAGTAAAGACAAAAAGAGCATGGTTTAAAAAAAATACGCCAAACTGTCCCTGGGAATTAAACCTCTTTAAAGGGTTCAAAATGGAATCTTTAAAACCTTATTGGAGAATTTGAATAAAATAACCAAACTAGTTTTGCAGATGTTTATCTTATAATTGTTTTTAAAAAATCAGTAATGCACATAGAAAATCGCAATTGGTACTGTTTTTTCTGTCGTCATACGCCAGTTTAATCAACTTTGTGGTACGCTGTTATTTAACAAATAGTCCGATTCATGAGTCTCCTGCATGTTTTTTTTAATGAAAACTCCCTGGCATAAGTAATGGTTTTGCTTTTTATGTATGCTAAAGAAAATGTAATGAGTTCCAGAACCTCTAACTTATCATTAACTTATTTTTTATTTTTATTTTTTTTTCCTAATGCACCTTTTTCTCCTTGTTTGCACCTTCTTTAATTACTATGCCAAGATGTGACCAGTGAATTTTTCCGCTGTGAGATCAATAAAGCTCATCTAATCTAATCTAAAACAGACCATATTAATGTTAAACATGTGCCCCCCCCCTATATTTTCGTCTTTGTGTGGCGTTAATATGAAACCCGATTCACACCGGTGCTAATTAATTAAACAGCGTTTCTAAGGGAAAACGGCTGAAAGTTCTGCAGAATCTTGTTCTGTTTTCAGCTGAGGGTTTGTCTTCCAAACAGGGTTCCTCCTGCTTACCTCATCGAGCAAAGGGGGGGAGCCAGGAGGAGGAGCTGTCCCCCGGCCTACATTTATACTGGAGAGCACTCTCCTCCTGTCAGGTTACCGTGGCAACCCTTGGATTGCTGCTCAAGCAGAAGTAGGGAGTGACGGGAGGAGGATAAGAAAAAAAAAGGGGGGGGGGGGCATTTTTAAAGCTGATGTCCCCCCCCCACCACCGTTTGACTAATTAAATGAGACGGTTGATGTGGTTTTGTCTTCTTGTTGCTACATGTTCGTCTGACTCTTATGTTTCTAAACATTTATGCTCACTTTATAGGATATTAAGAGTTTCCACTACATCTGAAGCTTCTCATATTTTGATCAGTGCTGATTCATCTCAAAGTCCTGGTTTGAGGATAAGATGATATCAGTTCACAACAAATCCACACATCATTATTTGGCTTTGGCATGTTCACAACCTCTGTGTTCGTCATTCTTCCCAGCTTGTGTAAAGTGGTGTGTTTTCATGTGCTATTTTTAATTTATTCGCTCTTTCTCCCCTCTGTGTCTTTCTGTCTCTGCAGGTAAAATGGATGATGTACTGGATAGTATTTGCACTGTTTAGCACAGCAGAGACGGCCACAGATCTGCTTCTGTCATGGTGAGTGAGCAGCTTCACATGCCTGCATAGAGTTCAGAAGGGAGCTTCTAGGACTTGGTTTGATTGAAGGCTGATGTGCTCTGGTTATTTTTAGCATGTAGTTTACTTTTTAGGTTTTAAATTAGCCGGTTGTTTTTTATTATTAACCACAACTGAAGCTTTGAGTGTTGCAATATGACTTGTTCATACAGAGATCAGAGAAGTGGGAATACTTTCTTTAAAAAAACAAAAAAAAGAGACATTTAAGTCCTGTTTGATCAGGTATAATTTCTGACATTGCTTTCATCAGTGATTTCCTCTGAATAAATAGTTAACTCTTCACCTTTTTTGAAGCTGTTAACCCCTTATCTCCCATCGCCGGCCCCGGGTCATTTTTGACGTCACATTTTGTTCTGCATTGAACAGCAAGCTTATTTGTAAACAAAACCCAACATGTACCTCTTTAGAATCAGGGGATCCTAAAGAAAACTACCATCAACTCAATAGTAAGCTGAATATTCTCCACAAACGGATAACCGTTAATCTGTCATCAATTTATATCGCATAATGTTGATTCTCACCTTGTTTTTGTCGTTTGGCATTCCAAAGCACATTCTATCCTGGCATAAAGGGACTTGTGTTTTCTGTAACATAAAAGTAATAACCAGTTGTAAAATAAAATCATGTTTTGTTTTATTCAGCTGGCTTTTGAAACACAATTGATTGACAGATACTAATTATTCTGATTCTTAAAAACAGGCTTGTTATTGTAGTTTAAGCTGTGAGTCGTGTTTTGTGAAATGGGAGATTGTTTGAGTTTCCATCTCTTTGAATGACGTCTTTCTGATGGGTTAGTATAAAAGTGCAGTAGAGGGGGGGGGGACAGAATAAAACACACATGATAATTATTGTGCAATGAAATAAGTTTGTTTATTAAATATAAAGGTGTGCTGAATTGTTCAGAATTAAAAATTAACTCACTCCAAGTAGCTAATAAAAAAATAAACCAGCCGTCACTCTGCCGACTCGGCTCAGCAACAGACTATAACAGACACTTTTGTTTACATAGATTTGGTGATCAATTTTATTTAGGGTGGCAACTAACAATTATTTTGATAATCGATTAATCTGTCTGGGTTTTTTTTTTTTTCAATTAATCAATAAAGTCTCTATACTCCAGTTAACGATCAATTGATTACTAAATTAGTTAAAGATTATTTCACCAATTAATCAGATTTGTCTTTTCAGTCCCAATTTTATTCATTGTTTCTTTATTCTTTTTTTTAATTGTTTTAAGATTTTATTTTTGTTTATTTAAGAGCATTTAGTTAACAGATTATGATTCTATTTTATTGATTGTTTTGGTTATTTTATTTATTTTAGATATTCAAAATGTCTTCCAGTTCTCGGGTTAAAGGTTCTTAAAAAAAACAGATTTATTGGTCATTGATTTGGTGTTATTTTTGTAATAATCATTATATTACTTGAAAACAATATATTTTTTTAATTTCTTGAACAATTTCTCCAGCAAAATTTGTTATTTTGAAAAGCCTACTGTAGGCTCCATGTTTCCAGAAGTGATGCATGCTTTCGACATGTCAGTCTAAAATGAATAGGATGTCAGGTTTTGCTATTAATTCTTATGGAGCATTAGTACATGCTAGAAATAAATTAACATACAAAAAGCACCTCTCTAATGGTTGTTGTTTTCCTGTGAAAATGTAAAAGGAGTATAAAGAAAGCATCTTTAGTATTAATGAAGAAATGTTTTAGATTTTGCAGAATAACTTCCTCTTTTGCCTCTAACCTCTGAGCTCATTCTCTTGTTCATAATCTTGGTTATCAAAGTTTGGACAGCAGTACTGCCGGTTAGAGCTTAAACTTTTTATTCCTTTGCTCAGGTTTCCCTTTTACTTTGAACTAAAGATAGCCTTTGTGATTTGGCTCCTGTCCCCCTACACCAAGGGCTCCAGCGTTCTTTACCGCAAGTTTGTCCACCCAACCCTCTCCAACAAAGAGAAGGTAAAGTCTAACCCTAACCATAATGAAATCCACATGGATGTTAACGTTTTTCTTGTCTGATAAAAGTCCCTTTTACAAGCCTTCACGTTAAGTCTGTTTACCTCCTTTTTGTGTTTGATCTAATCCTCCTGCTATGTGAAGGAAATCGATGAATACATCGCCCAGGCCAAAGATAGGAGTTATGAGACCATGATGAAGTTTGGAAAACGGGGTCTCAACCTCGCAGCTACTGCTGCCGTCACTGCAGCTACCAAGGTGAGCATCTGATGTCAGGATTTAAATGAAGACCTTATGTATGCCTCATGTTTAAGTGGTGCATATGCACTAAAGCCTCATGTCGCCATGTTTCACTCAAAAGTGCCGATGCACAGAAACGAGCAGCGTATGAAAGTGCAGTGTACTTTTAAAGATGTGTGACAGTTCCGATTAATTCATGGTGGTCTTCAGCGCAGGAACATCTATTAGTTTATTAAAACATGAAATATTGATATTTACCTCATAAAATAAAGCTATATTTACCTGTTTATTAGGTAAATGATCTATTTCCAGTTTTAATAATTAATGTCTTGTATAAAAAATGATTTCATAGGGTATTTATAGTTAATTTTCCATGTTTCCCTTCCTGTTTGTCGCTCATCTGCCTCAATATTACATTAAATCCATGCTGCTTGTAAACCTCAGTCTGTTTTGGTTTGGAACAACCATTTATGACAGAAACTCTTTTGAGGTTTCTGGTCTAATATAACAATCTGAAGCATAACATGGTAATGGTAAATGGCCTGTACCGATATAGCGCTTTTTCAAGTCAGATGACTGACCAAAGCGCCTACACTACATTCAGTCATTCACTCGCACACTGACGCAAACTACATTGTAGCCACAGCTGCCCTTCAAATGAGAAGAAAAAGTCCAAAGAGTTGCCTATGTGTCAAAAGTTTTGCAACATTGAAGCAAACTGAATCTTAACAGCATCGTAAAGGAATAGCTGCCTGCTGAATTTTTAAAATGTTTTTCCCTTTTTACTGAGTCCGAACCGCTAAAAGCATTGACGTATCCACGCTGTCCCATCTCCAAAGCATCTGTGTTTACTTTACCCTACATTCCCAGGGGCAGGGTGTGCTTTCTGACAAGCTGCGCAGCTTCAGCATGCAGGACCTGACTCTGATCAACACGGAGGATGAGCTGGATCTGCACACGTCGGAGGTTCGGATGAGACGGGACCACATGGACGAGATGAGCTCGGGGGCCAGCACGCTGCCTCGAGCAAGGAGTTCTTCTGCACGCCAGAGTAAGGCCGCAAACATCCCATCAGATTTTAATAACAGCAGCATGAAGCTGTACTTAGGTTTACAAAAATCAGTTGGTACCCCCTGGGTAAGAGCGTGATTTTTAGGAACCGCCCGACTTTAAAACAGGGCTGGGAGAATCTGGGCTGGAAGGAGTCAGCTGCAGAATAATACAGCCGTCTAGAGAGAGTGCAATTTGGGAGGTGGGTGAAAACATGTGACTTTGGAGGCAGGAGAGCTTTAGAGGGACGGTTCTTTGTCTCACTGCTCAGCTGATTGTTGTCATGGATACGGAGGCTGAAGCTGTAGTACCAACATTGGTTAGATACCAAACAAGTTTCTAAAACGAGCCAACGCCAAATATCAAATAATTCAAACTTAAATTTGGAATTAATCCTCATTATTTTAGGTTTTACTTCTCAGTAAAACAACTTTATTGGGATTGAAGTTGATCAAAACATGCTTCATCTTGAATGATACACTGTGCAGCACTGTTTTCCATCTCCGATTAAACCTTTAGAGACTTCCTACTTCAAATCTTTGGAAACAGAAATCCGATTACCTTAAAGCTGGTCCGGACACTTTAGCCATGAGATAAGAAACATAAGTGCTGTCAAAGTATTGCTGGCAGGAAGTGCCTCCTGATGATCTTATATTATAAAAAAAATTAATGATGATCTGAAATGATTCAAAGGAAAGAGAAGGGCAGGCCACACTGGTATTAAACCTGTTTCAATGTTTTCATTCTCTCCTTTTGGATTTTTATTACACATCCATCAATCCATTTTCTCGAGGGATGCTGGTGCCTATTTCCAGCTGTCGACGGGCGAGACGCGAGACCTGTCCAGGGTGTACCCTGGACAGGTCCAGTCCATCTTAAGGCACATTTAGTTTCCTTTTCTTTTAACTACAGTCCATAGTGAGCATTATGGGTCATCTTCTAACTCTTTTGTACACTGGTTACAGAAATATAAAATTCCAAAGAACCAAATATCCCTGCAGGGTGTTTTCTTTGATTCTTAGCATCTAGCTGTTTTTAATCTTTAATGATCGAGTTCTTATTGATTGGACTCCTTTTCTTAGACTTTCCATCATCAGAGCTGTGTCTTGGTTTCCTCTACTTATTTGATTCCAGAGTTTATAGGGACTTTATTGCTACTTTATTGTTTACAGTCTGTAAAGTTTGAAATTTGATTTTTTTCAGGTGAATAAGGGAAACTTAAAAAACATCACAATATGGAAAGCAGTTCAATGCTTTTCATTCTTTATTCCAGTGGTTCCCAGACTTTTGTAGCTTGCTCCTCCTGGGGTTTATGAACTTTTTTTTTGTGTGTGTTCTTGTTTTTCTCCCTCCTTTATTCTTTCTGTCCCTGTGTCCTACTTTATTTTCTTTCTTTCTTTTTCTTGCATTTTTTTTTCTTTCTTGCCTTACTTTCTTCCTTCCCATCCATCTATATTTTACAATTTTTGTTTTCAGTGTTTGTAGTTTAGATTTTAAATGAATGTTATAGTCTGAGAAAAGTGCATAGATTTGTTTTTCCTAGAAACTGTAAAGGAATCCAGCTCAGGTTGGTTTAATTCAGACTGATTTATCTTGGGTTCTATAATCCAAATCAGATTAGAAAGACAGTTTTTAAGCCAGGATTACAGCAGGCTTACATCAAACCCTGACTGGGAAACCTGAACGTTTCGGAGGCATATTTCTGTACTCAAAGTTTGTTTTTACATTCTGGCCTATAGCTCCTGTAGCATGGGACTGTTAGAACCACAACATTTAGAGCCACAGTGTTTTAAATAAAGCTGGACTAAAAGGAGGAGGTTTTTTGCCCTTTAGGTTTCTTTACGCACTTTATTATACTTTTTTTTTTTTTTTTTTTTTTTCACAGATCAAAATAAAAAGTCAGAATACACCAATAGAATAAAATAAAAAAATGTGATGGAGTGTGACAGAAACCCTTTAGGGCTTATACCAAGGCCACACCCATAAACCAACAAAATATCAGGCAGCTCACATTATGAAAGTCCTTTCAGAGAAAACAGAATAGACATATACAGTAACATTATTTTTACATTTTAGCATTCAGATTTCAGGGGGTCAAATTTTTGTAAAATCATACATCACTGTCTTTTTTGGATAACAGTATTTTTTTCAAAGACTTTCTACCATTTATTTCTGAAGATTCCAAATATTTTCCATATTCATTACATAATTTTGCACCACGATGCCGAAAAGAAAATTGCACTTGAGTTTTAATACTTAACGGTAAATGAAAAGACAAAGCTTGTCTAGTATTATAAGAATGCACTTGGCAGTTCTTAACAAAATATTTCTTAAAAGTATCAGGAGACTGACCTTGTTTTATCATAAAAATAAAGGTACATGTTTGATAAATATTAATTTCAAAAATATTCAACAGCTGTAATTTGGAAAAAAGAGGAGCACTAGCTGCATCAACTTTAGAGAATGTTGCTAAGCGAACAAAAGCTTTTTGCAAAAGTAGTATTTTTTTAAGATAAATAGGAAATGTACTTGCCCAAACAATATTACAGTATGACAGGTATGGATAGATTAATGAATAATATAGAGTTGACATCACTTTATTGTGAACAAAATTTCTAATCCTTCTCAAAATACCCAGAGATTTAGTGACTTTTTTGCAGACTGTACCAATTTGTTCTCTCCAAAGGAGTTTGTTGTCAAGTTGGACACCCAAAAAACGAACAGTAGAAACTTTATCAATTTGTTGGTTTTGAATACAAATTCTTATATCATCAAATGTGTAATTTTTGTGCCCAGCAAAAACCATGAAATTAAATGTTTTCACATTCAAAGATAACTTATTGGCTTGGAACCAGGTTGAAAACTGGGCTAGATCTCTGTTCAAATTCTCTGTAATAGTAGTCAAGTCTTTATGAGAGATTAGAAAATTTGTATCATCTGCAAACAGAATAGGTATTGTAGAACTTGTGACATTAGCCAGATCATTAATGTAAACTAAAAACAATAAAGGTCCTAGGATGGAGCCCTGCGGTACTCCAAATTGTATTGAGTTTTGCTTTGAATCAAGACCATTCATTGATACATACTGATATCTATTTTTTACATAACTAGTTAACCATTTATGAACAAAACCTTGAAATCCATATTTAAATAACTTTTTCAGTAAAATTTCATGATGAACAGTATCAAATGCTTTAGAGAGATCCAAGAACACTCCTATTGTATATTCATTATTGTTTAACGCAGTTAATATTCTGTCAGTAATTTCTACAAGTGCCATATAGGTGGAATAATTCTTCCTAAAACCATATTGATACTGATAGATTATATTATGTGTATTTAAATGTTTTAATAATCTTTTATAAATCAATTTTTCTAAAACTTTTGAAAAACATGGTAAAACGGAAACAGGACGGTAATTTGTGAACATACTTGGGTCACCAGTTTTAAATACAGGGATGACTTTAGCTACTTTTAAATCTGTAGGAACAATACCAGTAATCATTGACAGTGCACAAATGTGTGTCAGAGGTTTGCTCAATAGGGTCTGCACATCTTTTATCAGAGAGGCTCTAATGCCATCATGCCCTGGAGCTGAGTTTTTTAACTGCATTATAACCTCACACACTTCATTACTGTTTGGAAGATCAAAGCTATCCATTATTGGAAATGAATCTTTAATATAGTCAACTGGATCAATCGTTGTGTTTTGGATCTTGTTGGCAAGTGTGATACCTGTACTTGAAAAAAAATTATTAAAATGACAAACAATTTTATATGGATCAGACAGAACAGAGTTTCCATTAACAAAAGTTGAAGGAAACTTTGATGCAGCCTTTTTTCTTTGTAATAATTGGTTAATCGTTTTCCAAGTGTTTTTTATATTATTTAAACATTTTCTAAACTGATTGCTGTAATATTTTTTCTTAGATGCTCTCAACAAATGAGCAAATTTATTTTTATATAATTTATATGTAGCCAGATTTAGTGGAGTTGGGCATGTAAGATATTTTTTATATAATTTATTTTTAATTCTAGAAGATTTTTTCAAGCCACTTGTAAACCAAGGGTTATTTTTCCTCACAACTCCATACATTAATGGGAAACATTTATCAAAACAAGAATTAAACAGTTTTATGAACACTGTATAGGCAGAATTTGGTTCATTTTCATTATAAACTTCATCAAAAGAAATTTCTTGTATCATTTTTTTAAATTTGATTTTATTTGATTTACTAAAATTTCTAAAGTATTGAGTTTCAACTTGTCTTGTCTTCACATTTTCATTATATTTTGCAAAAAGAAATACTGGTAAATGATCAGTTATTTCTGTAAATAATAGCCCAGACATCGTATCATATGACAAAGTATTAAACAGTATATTGTCGATCAAAGTTGCAGATTGATTAGTTATCCTGGTTGGTTTGTCTATAGCTGGAAAAAAATTATTAGCATGCAGCATATTTAGAAATTCATTTGTCTGACCATGAATTTCACTTTTCATAATATTAATATTAAAATCTCCCATAATATAACATATTTTGTCTTCTTGATTTATGTTTCCAAGAACTTTGTTCATTCCATCATTAAATTTAATATCAACATCAGGTGGCTTATAAATTTGACCAATCACAATATTTTTGTTTTTTGAAGTCTCAAGCTCGACAAACGTTGATTCTATATTAAATTCTTCATTATTGAGAATTAGATCATCTCGTTGAATAAATTTAAAATTTTGTTTCACAAAAATTGACAGCCCTCCCCCTGTCCGGTTCTGCCTGATAGTATGGACAGAGTTGTATCCTGGCAGTTCATATAAACCAGATTCTTTAGAATTTTCTGTAAGCCATGTTTCACTGAGGCCAACAACTGAAAATGAATGATTTAATGTAGATAAGAATGTGACTAAGTGATCATAATTAAATGATTACTTCAAACCTCAGAACAGCTGCAGCCTTTTTTTTATTATTAAACAAAAAGTAGATTAATTAGCCTTCTCATAAATGTTGCTGTCCGATGATCTAATCTGGCCTTTTTCTATGGCTTTATAGCTTGGTGACCCTCCTGCTGCTCTCACTAACCATCTCGCTCTGTCCACAGCCCGCTCCTCAGCAGCACTTGCTGATGACGCTTCATCCCAACACAGCTCTGACCAGTCAGACACTCGGACTGAACACTCGGACGATGATCTTGGGGACAAAGGCCCTAAACGCAGCGTCAGCACCACAAAGACAACCAAAAAGGCAGCGACTGTGAAGACAGAGGTAGGAACACACTTCTTTACACTCGCTGAGGGTGTTCTTCTCCTTGAACAGTTTTCAGCTTCTGTTGGCAGCTTTTCATTGGCTTATGATTCATTTATAACGGTACTTATTTAATAAAGTTACAGGTTAATTGTGATTAAAAGTGTTTGAAATTTCAGATTTAAGCTTTCCCCTTGTTTCCCACTTCATATGCCCATCTCGGAACATATCTTACTGGGACTATATCTAAAACTAAGCTGAAAATGTTCGAAGTCTAAACTGTTTTTTAATCGTTTCCTCTTTTCTTCATTCAGTTGATTAATTGAGCTCTTCCTCCTCTTCTCCTCCCAGCCTCAAATCAAGACAGTGAAAAAGGTCACAAAGAAAAAGACCACTACTAACAACGCAGAGACGCCTCCATGACTCCTGCTATCCTCATCCTCTGGACCCCACCTCCACCTCCAACCACAGCCTGCTACGCCTCCCTCTGTTGGGCCTCCACAAACACATTTGCTTCATATATCAGGAACCGAATCCGTCACTGCTACTAGTTTTTAGAGCAAAGTACAGGTGGCGTTTTTAAGTTTTAAGGAAAGCTTTGGTTCAACAGTCTGGTTGCATATTTCGGGTCACCCTTTAGGGTCAGTTTGGATTTGATTTCACTGCTAAAGCTGTTTTCTAAAACTGTTTAAGTTGGATAGCAATCTGCTCACAAGTACTTCTCCACACTGAGGTGGAATATGTGTTCCCAATTGGGATGTGTTGTTTTGGATTTAGGCTGTCTTTATTTATAGCATATTTAGATAATCCAGTTTTTGCTTCTAGTGTCTGGATTGTCGATGAAGAAAACTTTTTCACATTCTTTGCATAGTTATCTGGACTCACAGCATTAGACATGCTCAGTAAGCTCTATGTTTACAGGACAGTCCTGCTAAGCAAAATGTCAGGAGTAATCAGTCAAAACTAGGTTATGATATCACCTTCAACGTTTTTATCAGCAGCCTTTACTTCCCACTAAAAGACAGCTGGCTGCAGTCGTGAGGTCTTTTAGTCCTTAAAGTGTTTCTCCTGTTGAATTATGCACTCCTTTTATTCTATCTCCTTTTATCTCTGGACCCTTACATACATTATTTGAGGTGTTTACACGCCTCTGAGGGAGCCTGGCTCGGATATGTTCAGATCTCACTGCGAATTTCATCTTAAAATGACCTTAGATTATTTTTTTCAGACTCCTTTACTTTGTTTTTATCTTTCAGTCCCATTTTAGTAAATGATTCCCCTGATCTTTGTCACCTGTGTGTGTTTACCATCACCACAGCGATGGCTGGTTTTTACCATTCAATGCTTCAATATAGAGAGAAATTCTGCACTTTCTCTTCACCCTCTTACCCAGATGTACATGGAGGCACATCCCTGCACCCTGCTGTCAAATTAAGACAAACACAGCAGGATCTTTTTTTTATTTTTTATCCAGGTTTTGGAAGGCCAGCTGTGGACAGTCAGGTTTTATCAAGCCCAACAAAGGCCTGGTTTCCACTGGATGCTGTAAAGCAGGTTTTATGTTTACACTGGATGTAACCAGTAGGGGGAGACAAACTCCACATTAAACTAGAAACATCAATATCTGGCTGTACATAGACCATGAGCTTACTTCTCTTATCCTTGTTGCTTGGGTTCCCTCTCCTTCACTACTGGGCCTTGATAAATCAGCTGCACTGAGAGCAGAGGCCTTATCAGAACAGACTCATTAACATGATTACTGCTTTTTTTTTTATATGGAACTTTAACCCCCATTCTGAAGCTTGAATATTAACAGCTGTATTAAAAAGTATTTTATGGCCAAAAGATACAAATAGCTTTTTTTTTTCTTCTCTTAATTTGCTTTTTGCTCTGAAGTCATTGTATAATTTAAAGACATTTCATGTTATGACTTCATTTTTATCTTGTATCATATATATTGTTGATTACTTTGTGTTTGTTATCAAGGTGGCAGAGTAGGATGCTAATTTGTATATTTTGTTTGTGCCAAATCCAAAGCCTTCATGTAAAATGGTCAGCAGAGTGGTTCTGCTTGGACAAAAACATTGCTCATCTGTAAAGAAACGGCTACTAATAAAATAAAGGAAATTAAATCCATCTCTCAGGCTTTTACTGTATTTTACTATGAAGTACAGAGTTATTTAAGATGTATTTCCATGAACAGATATGTTATTGATTTGAATCTAAATGTAAAAAAACTATGGAGGAAATGTTAACTGTGCAGAATCATGTAGTTTATTTTGTACATGTTAAATTTTTATTTGTGAACACATCAAAAAGTTTGTAATTGAAAAAAAACGACAGTTTTGTTTCAGTGAACAGTTTGTATTTATATATCACTGAGTGGTGCATTCATGGGCATGTTTAGTAGCTGCACAGAGCTTTAAAATGGAAACTTTTCCGCAGTAGCGTTCCCCTGGCATGAAAATGACCAACAAGCAAATATTCAGTATAACTAGACTGTTGCTCTATCAACACTAATAGCAGGTCGCTAGAAGCAAAATGTGTTTTTTTTTTTTCTTTTCTTTTTCTTAACCAAGCTAATAAAATGTGTGCAAATATCATTTTTCATCAGATTGGATCAGGAAGAAACCATGTCTTATAACGACTATAGGAGTGTATTCCACCACTAATAGCAGCCCAAAGTGGTGAGCACATCTGCCTGCAGAGGTAAGCAAGAAGACTGGCGAAGCCACTGCTGTCTTAACTTAACAATGGTAATCAAATCCATCCATCCATTTTCTGAGGCGCTTAATCCCAATTGGGGTCGTGAGGGGTGCTGGTGCCTATCTTCAGCTGTCTACGGGCAAGAGGCGGGTCCACCCTGGACAGGTTGCCAGTCCATCACAGGGCAACACAGAGACAAAGAGGACAAACAACCATGAACACACACACTCGCACCTAAGGAGAATTTAGAAAAGCCGATTAACCTAACAGTCATGTTTTTGGATTGTGGGAAGAAGCCAGAGTACCCGGAGAAAACCCACGCATGCTCAGGGAGAACATGCAAACAGGCTGGGAATCAAACCCGGAACCTTCTTGCTGCAAGGCAGCAGTGCTACCCACTGCGCCACTGAGCTAATTAAATACAGACTTAAGTTAAAGAATCACTAAGAAGATAAAGTTCTAACTCTTTTTCCTGAGAAAACAGGCAGCATACTGGAAACCTGAGGGTTTAGGGAATCCCAATAGAGAACAATGAGGGAGCAGAAAGTGAACAGGCCCTTAATAAAGCTGGAATGGCTGACAAGGCTTATAGAAATAAATTAAGCAGGAGTTTTTAGTAAGCAGTTAGATTTGCTTATTACATTATTCCTAGCAGTAGTTTAATAGCATCATAAATGTAACTTTTAATTAAACAATATAGTGAAGTATCACTCCTCCTAGTGTGGTAGAAAGTTCTAGCTAAATATGCACCTCACACATCTACACAGGTCATGTTGTTTTACTTATGCTAACTGTACTGGTGAGAGTGTAGCACCTAATCATCAAAAACAAGTTAATCATACGTGTAAAACACTACTTGGCAACAATTTTTTTTAAATCTGATGAAACTTTGGGCTGTTCTGACATATAAGTAAAAAATTTTTCATGGTGAGATTTGGAAATGAGAAATCCCACTAAATTATTTTTGTAATGCTGTGATTTATTCATTTTTATTTTATTTTATAAAAACGTGTATATAATTTGAAATGTCTGTATAATGACATCATTTTAACAAATTCATGCCAGGCATCAGAAACACTGATGACCTCTACAGGCCATGATGAGTAACAACAGAGAGCAGAAAACTGAAAATGGAGCAAATAGTGAGCCAGATAACAGAGCTCAGCATGAGAAGTGAAAATAGAAATTTAAGTGATGTTGGGAGTATTTCTTATTTATTGTCATCTTGTTTACTTTTTTTTGTTGATGGAAACAAAAACAGGAAAACTGAAGGGCTAACCTAATGATAGACTATGGGAATAGAAATGTTTTCTTTTTTTTCTCATTTAATTTTAAATAACAGATGTCCTCTGTAGCTCCTTCAAGACTGAATAACCTTCTAGAAATGAAGTGCTGTTTATTTATTGAAGCTGTCAGGCACTTCAGGTTGTTGGAAAACAAGGGCAAACTTTTAAAAATTCCCTTTGCTGCCAGAAGTCTTTTCCCATTGTACTTATTTAAAGCGCTGCTCTAGTCACTTTTAACTTGTCTTAAAATATTTTCTGTTTAGTAATTTATCAGTCCTTATAACACATCTTTTTGATGAAAATACCCTCATAAGACTTATTTTTTTTCTGTTGTCTCTTTCTGTTGAATTGTCAATATGTGTTTTTTAGCTTCTAGTGCCGCTAAACTGATTTCTTTCCAGTAGGTTGCTTTTGTAAAAAAGTCAAATATGTAACAATAAAAAAAGGTTTTATGACCATTCCTCTTTTATTGTTCACTTTATTGGTCTCTTCACTAAGATAGCTGTGAAAGAAACTTTTCTTTGTATTTCGTGAAACATGTCTCTGTTTTTCCCCGGTGTGTTGAATTAATATCCTGCTCAAAAACCATTTAATTTCAGAAGTTATTAGATTTCAGGAATCCACTATGTCCTCCGCTCTAAAGAGGTTTTAAAGGCATGTAAAAAAAAAGAAGCCCCACAGGATGACACATCTCCCACCTTACCCAACAGCTTTAAGTTTATTCATTTACAAGGACGGTGCATAGTTAAACCAGTACACCTGTAACATGTCTAACAGGCTAGTTCTCATCTGTAGGAAAGTTGTATGGCGGAACCATGGAAAATGAATGGGGTAAACAAAACAAAAAACAATAAAATTTGACTTACATAGATTGTATTATTTCTAATTTATCATTAAAGCCAGTGTGGTCACTTTTTTTTTTTTTTGATAAAAGCAGCTTGGCAACAGAATAAGTTTCATGTATTAGTGAGGCAGCTTCAAACAAGAGACAGATACAGAATAAAATAAACATTATTACTGACAAACTTATAAAACATGCAACAATTAAAGTGACAATGTGAGAAAAAAAACACATTTATAAAAATAAAAGGCAACAGCAGGAGTTCAGCGTTGACAGTTGCGGTTTCTTATCAGCCAACATGTGTGAATTAGGCTGTATGTATTGATTTCTCTGATTGTCGTTGAAATGGTTTTCCATTCCTGCGAGCCAGAGAACAAAGAGAGCTGATTAAGAGACACTTTTCTATATGGGATAATCTGCTTAGACACTCCTCAGGTTATTCTGTGTGTCGATTTATCTGAGATTTCTCACTAAAGAGCTGGTGAGCCATTCCATGTGAGATGTTGTATATCTGATAGGGATTTGTTAGCTAGATGAGATTAGAAAATAATAATAATAAATATAAATAATAAAAAGGGTATTGAAATTTAGAATATTAAATACATATATATTCATTTATTTATTATACATAAATACATATTGAATACAATATATTAGAATATTGTATTTTGATAAGATGAAACAGTGATGAAATTGCTTTGATTTACTGTCAAATACTTTGAATGTTTGTACAATAGTGGTGGAGTTAGTCTTAGACCTGCTTATTAAATAAAACTGGGAATGCATTAAGGTTTCAGCACCTTGAATAGACTTTGAATTTCTAATAAATCAGAAATCTGCTAAATTAAATTCTACAGGTAAAGGTAGTCACTGTGCTGAATGGTGACATGGTGTGTACAGCACCCAACATGGACCAGAGGAAGCAATGGAAAAACCCAGGACTCTGATTTGCCTCCGGAGATTTGAAGGAAAATTACAAACAAAAACGTTAAAAGTAAAGACCAAAAGACCATTTCCTTGATGTTCCTGTGACTTCAGTAGACATGGAACTATAATCAACCTCCTTAGATGTGTTCACTGGAGGAAAATGTATGAAAATTAAACAGATGGATAAAATGAAAAAATAAATTCTAAAAGGGTTAAAGTTTAACATCCATGTCAGATCACACCATCCATTGTGGTTTGAGCCAAAGTGGACTTAATGGAAGGCAACCAAGGAAGACAGCGTTGTTGAAAACAAATCCTAGAAGGCCAAACTGGAATTTGCTAAATATTTTGATTGATTGAAATAAGCTTCTTTGCAGCCAATTGGCATATAGATAACCTGTAATGGTGCAAAGGTGAGTAGTACCTACTTACATTTACATGAGTAACTTTATAAAAACAAATCTAAAGAAAGAAAGTATTATCATTATCTATTTGCGGCTACTCAACCCATTGTAAGTAAAAAAAAAAAAAAGAAAATAAATTTTAAATGGATTAAAGTTAAACTTCAAGCTCAGGGAACTACATTGGCAGATCACACCATCTACTGTAGTTTGAGCCAAAATGAACTGATTAGTGCTTCATTAGTGCAGGTTTGTGTAGTTGAAATTGTAATTTTTTCTTTAAATAAAAAAAAAAAGGAAAAAGAATTCAAAAAGATCATGTGTGCTGCTGTTGTTTCTGAGATTAAAAAATATTTTGTAGGTCTTAGATCAGCTATACCCCTAATGAAGCTCTGAGTTGAATAAAAATTATCTACTTTTTGGGAGTTTCTTGATTTGTTCAGGTAGAGCAGTCGTTTGTGCTGATTTGGTTTTTGAAGATATAATAATTTTTATTTTTGGCTGATGACATCACCATCCCAGCAGCCATTAGTGCTGCAGTCGTTTCAGGCTTTACATTTAT